TACTGATCAGTAATACAGACAGTAATACTGATATATAAATATTTTTAGTATTCTTACACGATCAGTTTCGTTGACAATATATTTCATTTTAGTTTTACGTACATTATCTATTGTACTGTAACATGGATCCTAATAAAGCGATATTGATGCTGAAGATTCCAAATCGTCGTTAATATCCTGCATCAATTCATCAATATTAACCACACACGATTACTATTATGTATCATCAGTATTTGTTAATACTGACAGTATTATTGACTATATAGAGTCACCTTTAGAGTGAACTTTCACTCCAAAAAATTTAAGAAGTATATATACAGATACATTCTCTCTCTCTCTCTCTCTCTCTCTCTCTCTCTCTCTCTCTCTCTGTCTCTCTCTTTCGATAAGATTATCATCAATTATTCTATCGCAGAATTGAGCAGGTTAAACGCATATTTTAAAAGGTCAATCGCATTTGCCGCACGCGGGATTGACCTCCTCGAAGACCAGGCGTCCTCCATGCAGTTGTTCAATCGATCTGTGGCTCCAAGTGTTATCGCAGAATCTAACCTTGACAGATCGATAAACCTTGATCAGAGAAAAAAACACTGATATTTTCGGCATGCCCGCGAATAGTCATTCTTGTTAATTAAAGATTGAGGCGGTTATATAAGTAATTGATCGAGATTATTGCAATCGCAAACGATAAAAACGATAAAAACGTTATTGTTGTATTTATCTGTTATTTATTTTTCTCATACTCCTAAACTTTTTCTTTGAAGATTTAAATAGCTTTTGCATAATTTAATGATCATTGTATTCTCATGGAGGCGATTAGAATTTTTCCGACACTTTAGCATCGATTTTCTTATCATGTTCGTGTTACTCGCACGGTAACCCGAATTGCACGTCAAGTCGATCAAGTCTTTTTATTTTTAGCTATACCATTGGCTCACTGCCCAGATTTTGCGTTCTGTCTAACGCTTGGCCGCAAAAATATTATCGTATATTTATATCGTGTATTTCTTGAGCTTTTCTTAAGAAATCAAACTATATGAAAACTAAACTTTAATAGAAAAAAGGCTTAACACACAAAAATGATAGTTAAATCAAATTTAATGGTTCTTGTATCAAATAAATATATCTCTGTATATTATAGTAATATTAGTAATGTATGTATCTTTTTATATGTTTTAATATTTAGTAAATATAAAGTTGGTATTATATTCAAATAATTTATTAAAATTTAGTACATTTTTTCAGCATTAAATATATTTTTTTATATTATCGTCCCAGTGAAACTTTTTCCTAATCTATCTTTTTTTAACATTGACCGCAATGTTGTGAAATTCGAAAGAGTACAATTCGTGGCTTCTTGTACAAAGGTCAATGTCGACGGATTGAATTCAAGTGTGAGCATCGTGTCAAGCGAATTTCCCCGGCGCTACGTAATCGCGTTACCACGCGATTAAAAAAATAGCGTGGAACGTGCGCTATCGGGTGACATGATGATAAGAACGTGCGATGAGAAACGATCTTTGATCCTAGCCTCTTGAATTTGAAGGTGCACTATATGGCAATAATTATATGCGATATAATACGCAATGTATTTCGTTTCTCCTTTGATATATGTAAATTTAGGAAGTTTTTCAATTTTTGGGTTTGAATATATTAAAATTATTATACAATATATATATTGTATAATGTTATGTAATAATTATAACGATTACAATTATAATATAATGTATTAATTTATTGTGTTACTTACCTATGATTATGATATATAAAAGTTATACAAACAACATAATGCAACATTTTCAATTTACTCATTCATTCAAATATTCCACGAAATTTTACATTCCAGTTCGATAGATATAACCGCCTTGTATTGCATTATTTTTTCCACTTACCTTATTTTTACCTACTTTATTTTAAATTGTTTTTTTTCTTTGACGTTTTATCTCTGTGACGTATATTTGTATTTGTGTGAATATTCCTTTCTGCTACTTATTTTTTTAAAAATAAATGCCTTTGTTAACATTCTTTTTGTCTTGATAGCATGTTTTGTTGTGTAATATTATTACACAACATATTTGTCAAATAATTGTCTTACACCGTCATAATTATTTTGAACAAAAGATAGAAACGCAAATTATTATTGATAAAAAGTTAATTTATGGCTCTCCAACGGAATTTACCCCGAAGAAAAATGCATGTTGACAATCTTTATAGACTTCTGGTCTGACAATTTAACTTTTAAACTGGACTACCGACGTCTTACCGCATCGTTAGCTTTGATAGGTCACTTAACGATATTGCAGAGAGAAACAATTAGTAATTAATAAATTGATTAATAATTATTGCCAGTGTTAGAGATAAACAAAGATCTCACTCTTAGATTGGTATTTATAACTGGTTCTTATTTTTTAAATTGTTTTAAACTTGTATATAGTCTCTTAAGATGTCATAAATTGGTTAGAGAGTCGCATTAGCATCTTAAGACATTACTTAAGACAGTCTTAAATGAACGGGCTATAAATACTGGCCTTAAAATAAAAAATTAACTTTTTCAAGACTGGCTCAAATTTTACTCTTTAGAATGAGATTCGGGTTCTACTTCAAAGAATGTAGAGAATTACGAATCCTTTAATCTATCGATAAAAATATTTACAAATTTGTCGTATTGAGAGATCCTAATCGACTAAAACCTTATTATTTAGAGCTCATAGCAGTTTGTCGATATTTTTGTCTTGACTTCGCTCTTTACTTCATCTTAATTGCTCGCGAAATGCCACATCCCGTACCTATCTGCACACGTCAGAAAGAATTCTCCTTCCCGGCAAAGATAAGCGGGCTCCAGATGTATGTACACATCACGCGACTTTCACTTCGCTTGACAGAAAAAAAAAAGAGAATTGAGCAACTTCGGATCTAACAAACGTGTAATTTATATTTCGTAGTCACGCGGTCCACTAATGTACTTGCACACACATTGATGATGATTATATTGAGCTAATCTTCTACTCTTTCGCCTTCCAAGAGCTTTGATATTTTCGTCGCATATTGCCCTTATCGCCTACAGCTGTAAGTTTTACGACTATCTTTGTCACTGGTATTACCTCTACGTTGTTATCGTGAAGGTTACTGTCGGTTTGTACTTATTGCAATCACGATACTAACAATAAGACTCGGGCGCGCACGCGGAGTAACTCTTGAATCTCGTTTCAACTCCAAGATTTGATCAAAATCACAGACTTCTATAAAAGTCTATGGACTTCTATAACAGTTACGGAAGTCTGTGTCAAAATTGACTTGATTTAAATTGAGGCATTTATCGTGTCAAAAACGATAAATACTTATCCTTTCTAGAGAATGACTGGAGTAATTTTCTCCTCAATGCGTTTCCGCGAATGGCACGTTCTGTTTGATAATGACCTCGAGACCTCACAATCTTGTTCTTATCTCATTTATCTCATGACGTTCGATAGTGCATGTCCAGATGAGAAACGATTACAAATTTTTTTATGCTTTTTCGCATGCAAGAACCGATTACGAGTTTAACAATGGATAACGTATCACTCCTACATAATTTTGATATAACGTACATACATTTCACATATAAATGTAATTATTACGTGTTTTGTCTTTAAATTTTAGATTCAACTGACAATCGATGTAATCGACTAGAAGTTATTAAAAAAACTATGAAAATTGTTTTTCAGTAATTTAAATTTTCCATAAATTTTTATTTTAGGACAAATAAATGTATAAGAATATCATTAAATCGATCTCTTGCCATTTCTATCACATTTCCATTCTCAGACATAAATAGACGTGTAAAAATATCAATATGGTATCTTCCGTAAAGTATTAAATTTACCGATAAAATGTTACAATTATATGTTGTGAATTTGATGAATTAAATGAGACAGTTGCATGAAAAAAATTGTTATCTTTTGGGATCCGTTTCCTGTCCTTGTAGCATTATGAAATTATAATTTTCCAATGCGAATTTACTAACCCAACGAATACTCGCGTACATCATTGACAATATAGTTAAGTTTGTCGCTTTTACGTAATCCACATGTGTCTTCCACCGTGACGATTCTTTACACAATGTGTACGTCACGCATAGAATGTTCCGCAAGAGAATCGAGAACGGAAAACAAATGGCCAGAAGTTTATAGTTTAGAAATTAACTTGAAAACAAATTCGAGTAAAGTTGCGTCCATTTTGAAAGTTAACTTTATTAAGTATTTGATGTGGAGAATAAAAATTGTGGAAATGTAATAATTTAACTTATTGGATTGGACCAGAATTCTTCGTATTTCTTTTTTAAGGAATTGAAAGACACACAAATTTTTAATGTGTTAAATCTCATTCATAAAGAATTTTTCTCCTACCACTTCTCTCTCTCCAAACTTCATTCTGTTTGAATGTATTCTTATAGAATATATAAATCAAATTATACTTACACACAAAAGCCTATTGAAAAAAATGAGACAATTTTTTTGTTTAACTCTATAGTATAATTATATACAGAGTCTCATAATATATAAATTTTACCATATTTAATCCCATGAGTACACACGATTCGCGTCCTGCATTTCTCAGAAATAATACTAGAAGTCCTAGAGAGTCCTTTATTTTACATTATTTGTAATACTAGATGTTTAATTTTGGAGTTTAAATAATTTATATTCTTTAATTTTTAATAAACAACTTTATAAATATTTTCTAAATATGTAAAAATATATGTATGGTTATTTAATAATATTTATAATATTCAATTTTTGTATACTCGTAAAAATGATAAAAATTAACTAAAGACACAATAAATAACTTACCGTGTGCAGTAAGAAACCGGAAAATTATTGTTTTAGATATTTTAAAGAGTTAATTTTAATATACGTTCGAACAATTTTCGTCTGTATTTATTCTTGAGATTACTAACTTTTGATAATTTCTGCATTTTACGTTATTCTGAACAGTTATTAATTACAATTCTTTTTTTCCAGAAAATAACGTCGACGATTTTCGTGCGACAGCTTACTGATGCATCCGCGGATCTTAAGAAGGTTCTTACTGACAGGATCCCGAAGGAGCAGGAGCGGGTCAAAGCCTTCCGTAAGGATCATGGATCCACCAAAGTCGGAGAAGTCACCGTTGACATGGTATATACTTTATTGTATTTTTCTATATTAATAAATTAGTCTTTTTTATTATTATGAAATAGTCCAACCTTGAGTAATTATTTTAATTATGTATTTTTAAATTTGTTCAAAGAAAATGATATTCTGAAATAAAATCTTGTTTTCCAAGATAGGAAGGAGATATGTGGTTCTGCCACATTCTTTATTAAAATCTTTATCGCGATTGATTTTAACTATATCACGATAATTATAAATATTCATATTTATCATTAAGAATTATAATAAGTTCCTCATAAATTTAACGAGGAGGAAAGTATGACGAATTATTATTCGTGTTACCAGCCTGAGAATAGGAGTCCATAAGGCTCGCGTGTTTGTTATGTGATCATGATATTCATAACGCACGTTAATATTATAATTTCTGATCGTCGCATGCAGCGTCAATAAGCAGTGTATTTTTTTGCTGGCTATCAGCCGAATGCAGCATTTGATGATTAATAATTATCGAGCTAGTTGGGCTCATATGTGACGATCTCACTTGTCGCTTGTCGCGCATGAAGATCTCATTCATCATATTATATGTGGGTCTACTTTTACTTATCGCCGATCTCTGTACAAGTAATTAACGTGTTAATGGCCATGAGGCTAATGATATTTTTTATATATGGACTTACACATAAGTTAAAATATTGTAAGTAATTAATAAATGCGAAATGTTAGCGATATTCTTGAAGATTATTGAGAAATTTAAATATTTTAATAAACTTGAAGCTGTCTAATTTCTCATGATAATATTATTGAAATTAATTAGTATAAAATAAACTTAAAAAGCGTAGAAGATTTAGTCAGTCAAAAAAAGTCTAATTGAAAATAATTGATTCTTGCAATAATATTATTTTTTATTTTATTGTTCAGTTATCTAATATATTTTGCTTTGAACACAGATGTATGGCGGTATGCGTGGCATCAAAGGCCTCGTGTGGGAGCCATCGGTACTGGATCCGGAGGAGGGCATCCGGTTCCGCGGGAAGTCGATTCCCGAGTGTCAGAAACTCCTGCCGAAGGCGTCCGGCGGCGCAGAACCGCTCCCGGAGGGTCTCTTCTGGCTGCTAATTACCGGCGACGTACCTACAGAGGCGCAAGTGAAGGCCATCTCGCAGGAATGGGCATCCAGGAGCTCATTGCCCGAGCATGTGGTCAAGGCCCTCAACAATTTTCCCAAGAGTATACATCCTATGACGCAGTTCTCTGCGGCAATCACGCTGCTGAACAGCGAGAGCGAATTTGTTAAGGCGTATAACAAGGGTGTGCACAAGAGCAAGTACTGGGAAAGCGTGTACGAGGACTCGATGAACCTGATTGCCAAGTTACCGGTGGTGGCTGCCACTATTTACCGCAATATCTATAAGGGTGGCAAAGGTCTGGGTTCCGTCGACGCTGGCCGAGACTGGTCCTGGAATTTCGCCAACATGCTTGGCTATGATAATCCGCAATTTATCGAGCTGATGCGTCTCTACCTGACGATCCATTCGGATCACGAAGGTGGTAACGTGTCCGCTCACACCACTCATTTAGTGGGATCCGCCTTATCAGATCCGTACTTATCTTTCGCCGCCGGTATGAATGGTCTGGCCGGACCACTGCATGGTTTGGCTAATCAAGAAGTATTGGTGTGGCTGGAAAAGTTGCGCGGTCAGGTCGGCGACTGTCCCAGCGATGACAAACTCAAGGAGTTCATCTGGAAAACATTGAAGAGCGGCCAGGTCGTGCCTGGTTATGGACACGCCGTTCTTAGGAAAACCGATCCGAGGTACACCTGCCAGAGAGAATTTGCGCTGAAACATTTGCCAGATGATTCGTTATTCAAGGTAGTAAATCGCTTTAAATATAGTAGAAAAATGTTATTCTGCTTCAAATAAAAAAAAAGATAATTGAATTCATTAATCCACCTTTTTAAATATTTAAGAATATTGCTATAAAGATTATAAAAATTAATTTCAGAATATTTAATCCTTTTCAACATTACATTTTTATGTGCTTACACTGAGAAAAAAAGTTGTTAACTAAATGCGTTTAGTTCATAGTGATTCAAGTATTTATAATATGTGAGTCATGTCAATATGTTATTTGTTTGAATTGACAAATGTTTAAAACAACCATGTGAGAAACAAATATTTATTTAAATTAAGAAATATTTGCTTGCCAGCCCGTAATCGCTGTATTTAGTTGACTAATATTTGTTTTAATTAGTAACTTTTTTCTCAGTATACAATTACACTCTATTCAGAATTCAATTAGCATAATTTTTATTTAATTCCAAGTTAAATTTGCATCAAATTTTAATATCAATGTCAATGTTGATGTGTTTTTCTTTACAGCTCGTCGCGCAAGTGTACAAGGTGGTGCCGCCAATCTTGTTGGAAACTGGCAAGGTAAAGAACCCATGGCCGAACGTGGACGCACACTCGGGCGTGCTGTTGCAATACTACGGCATGAAGGAGATGAACTATTACACGGTCCTGTTCGGCGTGTCGCGCGCGTTGGGCGTGCTCGCTTCTCTCGTTTGGGACCGCGCCTTAGGATTGCCCATCGAGAGGCCTAAGTCCCTCAGCACAGAGCTCCTGATGAAGGCTGTTAAGGCTTAAGGACTTTTCTCACTGGATCGACGATCGATTATCAGCATCACCTCGGAGTCTCGTCGTCCTGACCTCGATTTTATTCGAGCGTCAAACGCGGCGTCGGGAACTTTGATAGGATCATTTTGATACCACTTCGACGGAAACACCTCAACGAGCCCACGCCTTATTGAGCAAATGAGAGTACGATTGGGAGAGAGCGAAAGAATGAGAAAGTGAAAAATGAAAGAAACACAAGGCTAGGTATTAAACACGACAAATAATTACACCTAATGTATTATCTAAATGTAGAATTATTAAGAGCAGATACATCAATGTTCCCCGTCAACGAATTCGCGTTAATTCTCTTCCTACTGTCGATACTTTCTCAAGTATGAACGGCGACAAATGGATACGTTAATCACACAAATACACATAATTAATTGTATGAATATACATATATGATATAACGTGATTTAAAAATTTTAACTGTCAAACTAAATTCTTACAAAGTATCCCAGTGAACAATAAGGCGTCTTTAAAACGCCTAAAAGACGTCATAAAATTCTGTAGGACGTCCGAAAAATTTACTAAAAGGCGTCTTTAAGGCGTCTTTAAGACTTTGTCTTTTAGTAGTCTTATTACACGTCTGTCAGACGTCATATTAGACATATTTTAGACATTTTGATGGATGTCTCTCGGACATTCCTTATAATGGTCTATAAGACGTCTTTGAGACATTCTACAATGTCATTGTTCAGACATTTTTCAGATTAATTTTGGACATTACGATTTTTCTGGATTAAATTAGGTTATATTGACAGAGTTTCGATATACACACACACACACCGCCAGTACTATGAAAATCTAATATTATCTAATATTATCTAATATTATCTAATATTATCTTATTCTTGTTCTGCAAAATGTCTTAAACAGATATGTCCAAAAGATATCTTAAAAAAGATGTCTTTATAGAATTTGACTAAAAGTCGTCTTTAAGATATCTTTTTGTAAAATCTTAAAGTCGTCCTGGAAAGGACGTCCAAAAGACGTCTTAAAAAGAATTGTCTTTAGGACTTGGCTAAAAGTTATCTTAAAGATGTCTTTTTGTAAACGTCTTAAAGTCGTCTTTTTTAAGACGTCTTTCGGATTGTCTGTTAGACATTCATGTTCACTGGGATCAATTGCGGGGAAGGCTTAATAAACGGATGTTCTCGCAACGTAGCTGCTTATATAAGTGGAAACGTAGATTGGTCCAATAGTGAAAACTGCCAAAATTACGAGGAAACTCACGATAGTACGAAAAATCCAGAAGATAGCCTTTAGATGTCTGTTAAGATTTTTAGACGTCCTCTTCTAAATATCTCTCAGATGTCTAAAAGATGTCTCCTGAAATTTATTTATAGAAATACACACACACGAGATAGAGAAACGCGTGAGAAATAGGTAATTATTGTAAATAAAGTCATCGCTCAATACAAAGCAACACGCCGACTACCGTTAGAAATTTAGGGAATTTAAATTACGTAAAATCTATGACGATAGTTAACGTGTTAGCCTATAACAATGTAAATGCAATAGAAAATAGCGACTCGAAACCTAGATTGCAGCCTTCATTGCATAAGGTAACATAAACGTTCAAGAAACATTAACATTTAAAAGATAATCTATAATTTAGGTCAGACGAGAATTTTTTACATCTGGTACTTTAAGTTATTCAAAATGTGATTAGGCATAAATTAGAAACCGTAACGTTATTGTCTTGCCTCTTCACATAAAAAAATGTACTCGGATGTGTATCATATTTCTTTTTCGAACGGGTAGATTACTTTAGAAATTTATTGGATTTTCCAACACAACACAGAACGATGTTATAAAAAATAGGTTTTGAAAGCAATAGTCGGCAATGGGACGCCAAAAGGCGAACGTGCTAATTAGCTCAGATGTAGATCTCCTGGTCGTTTGTTTACTATCCCACTTCCTTCAGGAAATTTATTCTAATTGTAGACAGAATAAATACTGTATCTACGATTCTGATTATTTTTGAAATGGCAAAGAAATGCTGTTGCTGTACGCGAGTATGTGTAGTAATTTAATACTTAACAGCATATAGTGACGCAGTGATTAAGCATACTTAAAAATAGTGTTTATAATCTCGTCATACGATCTACTCGGTCGTGACGAGAGAAACCGCCGCGAATACAGTATAAAATTAAGAAGCATGACCAGTGGTGGACCCACTGTTATAAGAATGAATGTGTGTGCATATCTTATTTATAACGAATGTGAAAATAAATGGATCATAAGGTAATCGTAGCTGACAAATCTTTTTTCCTTCGGGACTTAGGATTCACGAAATACCGTTCGCCTAAATATACGTGACTTTAAAAGCTTTAGCTAAAGAATAAGACTTTTTAAAGCGATATTTAATAAGGTATTAATTTTTACACTGAAATATGCTTAATCTAAAGACAATAAAAATCTTATACGTTTCTTATTAACAATATAAAATGCAAATTACGAGAAATGGGAAGGTGGAATTATCGAGGTAAATAAAAGCAGCAGATCCGTATATTTCTTATTGATAGAAACTGATTTTCAATTTATTTGACATCCTATACTTTTAGCTTTTTATTATTCATTGAAGTCGGACAAGATTCTCTGACTTATATTATACAATTATATTAGATAAAGACCAATAAATCGGAAATTATTGATTTTTAATTTATTGTTATTTTGATAAACTCGACAGGTCGGGCTGAGTTGGCAAAAGCACAATTATGTTTTTTACACTCGCGCTCGTTCCGCCAACACTGCGGTAAAACAATCTATGTCTTGTATTTTATACTTTCCAAAAAATTTATTTTTTACATAATTATAGTTAAATAGAGAAGACGGACGCCGTGGATAAATTCGACGAGTGTAAATTCTGTATAATATACTCCGCATAGAATTTCGAGGAGCAAACATTGTACACGGGAGATACTCTTATGTGTCAACATTAAGAACTCGTTTCTCAATATGAGAAAGCTAGCGTTAACCAAAGCTGTAGGTGTTATGATCTCACTCTAGCATTAGACGGCATTTATATCCCATCGCGTGATGTTACCAACGCCTGTACAGTCATCTTTGCGTGTACCTATTAATTTTTTAAAGCACACATTGATAATTTCCCTTTTTTTAAAGCTACGATAATTAATATTATATCTACTGGAGTATTTAACGCTACATAAAAGATAGACGTTACATTTACAATTTAAATAAAGCAAAGGCGAGACAGCTATCAGAGTTGAAGACAATGATGATTCCTTTGTGTCACAGACTTTTACTAGTACATCCATCATCCTAGCGGCACGCAGTAACCGCAGGTGAATGGAACCGGAAGATATATTTCCTTAAATAACTAAAAATTCGCACTTTAGATACCAACATCACTTAGAGCAGTTACAACAGTGAACTATATCAGTTAGATTATATATTAAACTTATAATATTATTTCTCATTGCCAAGAGAAATAAAACGGAACAGATTGAGATTTCTCGTTCGGTAAATCAGTGAGTCAATAGGCGAGTTTTTGATTTAAAGCTCCCATTCACCTGTCACGATATTACGTATGTCGCATCCTAAGAATAGCATCAGCCCATCCTTCGTTGTTCTTTTCCGCGCATTATGTAAGCCATATCGATTACGTGATATAATCAGCAAACAACTGTCTCAGAATTAAATCCACGTATCACAGAGCAGTTCATACTCTGTCTCGAGAAGTTTTCCTCAATCAGGTTACATGGCCATGAATCTGCTCGGCCCTTACGTACGGAAATGTCGCAAGATTTTGCACTCTTTTCTCGTCCGGCATTATATTTCTTTCTCATTTTTTTACAGAGCTCGCTCTCTTAACGAGAAGTATAAAAAACTATGTACACTTACTTGCGCTCTTACATATCAACTGAGTACGAATAACGAGTTGCCTTTCTCCATCTATTTTAACTGCCTGTTTTACTGCAGAATTTTACTGTAGGTGGACGGGATAAGAAATCTCATACTTTTATCATGTAAATGATAATATAATTTAAACAAGCAATGTTCAATGATCATTTAACTATGAACCAAGTATACATCTTGTATATGAACGCAAAAAATAATAATTGTCTTTCCTTTTAGCACTTGCTTAATATCTGGTTTTGTACATTTCCACTAGTCTTCATTCTTTTCTTATCTCTGTATTGAACAAGTTGAAACTTGTTATGTTACAAGAACAATAATATAAAATCTTTTTATTGCATAAGCAGCCAGTGTAATTAGTAGCTGAAGAGCAGACCCGTCCACCATTCTTATAAGTGTGGCTGCGGCAATAAAATAATCGGATGCACTTTGAGGATCATACCAGGAGATTTAAATAATAAATGAAATGCGACAGCCCATGCTGCTTTCTTCCTTCGAATAACTGTCAAAGTAACCAGAACTAATTTAGCTCAATAACATATTTTACATTTTGGATATTTCATTAGACTTATAAATGACTTTCATAATGTACGTCATGTCTTTTTTAAACGTCCGACAATCCATTCCAGTCCCTGATACAACCTAAAACATTTTTTATTATATTTAAATACTTATAGGACCATATATACGAGAAACACAACCAATGAGAAATTGCCTTTAACTGTCGAGCTATACAAATTCACACAAAATTATAACACCTAAGATCCAGTTCAACCGTTAAAGACATTCTCATTAGTTGTATCTTTTATTATCATTTATTTTAGATCTTATTCCTCTATCCTGCTAAAAATAAGTGCATAATCACATTAAGTTCTTACCCCTCTCCCGTAAGGGCACAACAGCTCTGTATATGCCACTGGTGTTTTTTGATAGATGTCAAATCCAATTGTCTTGAAATCTCAGCCGCGGTCATGCTACCCTTCAAGTCTTGTTTATTGGCATAGACCAGAACGTTGGCTTTACTCAACTCCTCATGATTCAGCATTGAATAGAGCTCTTCCCGAATCATACCAAGTCTCTCTCGATCAGTGCTATCTATGACCATAATGATAAATTCAGTATTTGTGTAGTAAGTGGACCAGGCAGCTCTCAGACTCTGTTGACCACCCAAATCCCACATAATAAAATGAATATTCTTCCACACAACTTCCTCTACATTGGATCCGATAGTCGGAGACGTATGGACAACCTCGTTCATCAGAAATTGATATAATATTGTTGTCTTCCCAGCATTATCCAAACCGACCATAACTATTTTATGTTCTAAAAGCAATAAATTGTTATTAAAAGATCTGTTCTTTATAGCTAAAATAAACCATATGAAGTAGATAAACATTTGAAGTTTGATGAAAGCAAGATAGAACGTTTTATTCAATGTAATGACAAAGAATAAATGTCTAATATGAATTTTATATCCTTCTAGATATAAAGAATAATGTGATGAAAGTGGAAATTAAGATATAAGTTGTAAAAATTTAAACTCAGGGACAAGTCTTCAGATAGAATGTGATTTATGTTAATTTTGAATAACATAAATTAACCTTAATATCAATTTAATTCAATCTTTATTCTTTTCTGATTCCTAGAACTAGAAAAAAAAAAAATAAAAAGTAAATTAAACCAAAATGTCATGTCTTCCTAATTTTAATTTACAGTGATAGAAACAGATATCAGTAGCATATGTTAACAGATTAGAGAAAGTAGGCCAATGTACACACATAGAATTTCCAAGAATATCATCTGATTCACACAGTTCTATATCAGTATTCTTGGTAAAATTGACGACTCTAAGAAAGAACCCTTAAAATAATATTCGTGTAACAAATTTCGCAAGAGTTTTATTGTAGGCTCAGACCTTCTGATGGAATGAAAAGTTTAACGTTCAAGTGACATACTCTTTTAATTAAATTACCAGATCAAAAATGCTAAGCGATTGGTAGATCATCTAGCAGGTGTTTTACAAACATATGCAGTGATAATATATAAAGGGAGCGGAGGGACGGAAAGAGCTGGGAAAGAGCTGTGACTCATGATCTTATCACAGTATTTACCTTCGTTGCCAAAGAAGCTCCACAATTTCGCGAACAGCAGTCCCATGTTGACTAGTTGGCCAGAGACTGATCAAATATAATATGCTTGATGTCACAAATTCGCCGTCTCCTTAGGAGAATAACTCGAAAACAGGGCGGTTCATTGTCTTTCGGAGGGGTTATGTTCGCTTCCGCGATGACAAAATATCGTTTACATACGACGTCGACTTACAGATCGACGTCATAATTCCGCCGAAACGTCGACGGGGACGCTACAATACGCGAATACGATCGTGATAACAATTGGAGCTGCGACGCGCGAGGAACAGTCGACAGATCGACGAAAGAGAGAGTACGCAAAGTGCAAACAGCCTACTAACAGAATAGAGGGAAACGCGACATGTTGCTCCTCCATACGACAAGTGTCCGCACCTGGCACCACGGTATATACAGCATGGTGGAATATAGCGGGGAGCACAGATTCTTGCATAACGCATAATACATAAAGCATAAGGAAATGTACCAATCAAAATTCTTTGCTTTTTTTCCTTTCTATAAAATAAAGAACTCTGATTGGTTGAATTTCTTAAGCCCGTTCTACATTGCTCGTATCGTAGCATCGTAATGCTGGATTCACACTGCATCCGATATGCGTCGTACGACGAATCTGCAACCAATCAGAAAACAGGATTTTGCTTCGCATCGGTGATACGATTTTTCTGATTGTTTGCAGAGTCGTCGTACGACGCCCATCGGATGCAGTGTGAATCCTACATAAGCGTCGTGAGACTTTTTATTTGATTAACATATTGGGTGCATCCAGAAGCATAAGCCCGGATCCTCATACGGGCAACAGCGCTTTGACACAGGACACTGATTGGTGAAAAACGGATTATGGGGGTAAATTTTACCCTCGCTGATTGGATAGCACGGCGCTAGTGCTGTACCAGTTTTCCCAGTGGAAAACGCTATAAGTTAATCGGCGTTGGTGAAAGAGGCCTTAAGACCTTTACGATACTACTAAAATTTTTGTACGTGTAATGGCCTTTAATCCACTACTGCTACTGCCCATTGTAGAATGGTGCATTCACATGCAACTGTCAAGCGTCAAGCAGCGGAACCAGCAACCAATTAGCGAGGCGATATGGCCCGTGGCCAAGAAAATATTTTTACGCCACTGCTCATATCGCTTCGCTGATTGGTTGCTGCTTCCGCTGATTGAACTTGACGGTTGCATGTGAATCAGGGAATGGAAGTAACTCGTTACTTATAACGAAGTTACAGTTACAAGTTACTTTTTTGGTAACTTTACTAGTAACTGCGTTACTTTCTTTTTTTGGTAACTGTAACTGTAACGAGTTACATTTTTTGGGTAACGGTAACGAAATTTACAGTTACTTTTGTCGTTACTTTGCACACGATTAAACACGGTTCGATTGGATACATGCTATTTATAGCGCTTATCAATAAGACTTGAAAGCCCTTAGACATTCGGCCGTTATGATTCAGTAATTATTTTACACTTCTATCTTCTTTGTAATACATAGGACATACAAATATTTCAGTTTGCTGCATATTTTACAAGTTTTAGAATTACAAAATTGTGTTTAAAAAAAATTAAAAAATAAATTAAATAATAGTAAATGAGAAGGGCTATGAACCCAAAATTATATTTGTCAGTATTACATATAAAAAAAAATGCAAAAGTACATTTTTAAATTGATTTTAAAAAAGTAACGGAAAAGTAACGAAAAGTTATTTTTCAAGTAACGGTAACTGTAACGAATTACTTTTAAAAAGCGATAACTGTAACTGTAACTAGTTACATTTTTTACTCGGTAACGAGTAACTGTAATTAGTTACTTTTAAAAAGTAACTTTCCATTCCCTGATGTGAATGTATCCTTAAGGACGTTCTCCGACTGCAGTTGTGCTCAACCTAAAGTTTACTCGCGTCCACGTAATCGCCCCTACACACAGAAAGTAACAGTTGACTACCACTCCGCTCTTTCGCTTGTTTCATTGTTTCCCTCTCGCTTTCGCTATTGCCGCCGGTCGAAAACATAGCGGAGCTGCTTACTTTGCTAAGGCCCGATTTTTCATTATCTGGTTAACTTGTGGTTAAGTTTAACCTGATGTTTTATCCAATGGGCTTCATCTATGGTGATGTCAACCAGATAATGAAAAATCGGGCCTATATGGTTTCTTAAAAGTGAATACCGGAAGACATATTCAGGAAAATTTCATATTATTCCTTGTAATATCAAGTTTTATGTCTCTTTGTTTCAAAAAATTCTAAAGAAAACTTTTTTTACAGTGAATAAAAAACTACTTTCGAATATAAGCTTTAGATAGGGATTCTACGTTAAACGTTTCAACTTTGAAGTGGAATATCTCGATTTTTAATCCCGTAACGAGTACTGAGCTTCAAAGCATATGTTCAGAACACTAAAACAAGCTTTTTCTGTAAGTTTCAGAAAAATCTAAAGAAAATGGATTTTTCGGAGAACGTCCTTAAAACATGAGAGTTATGTAGGATTCACACTGCGTACGACATCCAATGTACGATGATCCGACACAATATCCAATTGAGAGCTTGTTTTCTAGATATACAGCTAACAATAAATTGTACCACACAGAATTTATGCAGATTTTAAATATCTTCCTCTATATTATAATTTTCAATAATTATACTGTGTACAATGATACTGCATACAGCTTGACTATGTTTTCTTCCACCCATTTCTTTTGTTTTATTTTATCTTTCCCTGTTTTCAAACTCTTTTACTTATTTCACAGCAATACCTGCGGAACAAAGCTAAGATCAAAAGTGTTTCCAAGAGGATGGATAACTTTAATACAACAGTTGTATAATCGAGCACGTTTTCTAAAGCTTGCCGTTTTCATTAATTACAAAGACGATTTCGATATTCCGATTTAATTATTCAAAATTTAAGTCCTTTTAATAAATCGACGAAAGCAGCAAACTTCAGAGTGGGGATAACCTTGACTAAACTCCAATTAATTATATGTATGTCGAAATAATTAAGGTTTGTTCCTATTTTAAATTTTTTGCTGTTTATGTTGATTTGTGTCGCGACTAATTATGTATATCAAAAAGTACAGCTACATAAAAGTAAACCTTGCATTTCTCTTTCGATATAATATATTTCTCCAATACTTTAACGATTTTTTAAAGAATATGTAATCCGATTTTACTACTTTCAAATTGTTTTAAACTTGAGACTGGTATTTTCGATTGTTTTCGATGAGAATATAATTTGTTATTGCAGTTTTCCTCGACATTGCTCTAAAGGAATTTTGCCTCGTCAGCCTTTCGGAAATTTTATTATTTCTTCTATACAAGTATAAATTCGAGAAGCAAGCAATATTATTGTGGAAAATTATTTTCTACAATTATCCTCTTTAACGTCATTTAATCAAAAAGATTTATGTAATTCTTCTGTTTTTTTTTTTTTTTTTTTTTTTAAATTAATAATATTCGAAGGAAAATTCGGCATGTGGCCTCAGATTAGATAAGTCCGTGTCGTGGCGGCATGACTGTTAAACGCTGCATCATCGTTATCACGAATTCTTCTGACACGGGCGACGTGTTTCGAGCACCGTGATTGGCTCACAGTTTGTCGGCTGACGCTGAAGCGGCTGCGGAGCATGCCGTTCGATCATACGTCTTTTGACGATCTGAAAAGTGGCCACTTGTTGTTCCTACATCACACTGTCTTCCTAGTCTCACGCTGTACATTCAATTAGATTTTATTACATTTATCGTCATCACGTTTGCGAGCTATCTACAAATATGAGTACTCCGTGAGTATTTTTTCGTTAAGTCCTTATTTCATTCAAAATAACACAAGGTGACTTTCTATTTAATAACATAAATCGATACAAATATCGTTCTGTCTTTATTATTCTTTATTAAATCTGGAATGACGTTTGTATTGATTTGTGTCAAGGACGGTATCATAGTTCATTTTTATATTTAAGACTATCTCAAGTACAATCTTAAATAATCTCATGCAATGCCACATTAGCCTCTTAAGATATTACAGACAGTCTTGAACATAAAAACTAACTATAAATATCGACATAAAATGGAAAGCAATTACAAAGAAGTAATAAATGTCCAATACAAGGTAAAATCTTGGAGTCAATAAATAATAAGCTATTTCTTTTTAACTGAATTTGCACGGTTCAACTTTTCCTATTTTTTTCCTATGTAAAAAGTCCAAGTTCAGCTAGTATAAAAAAGCAGGTCCAATATTTCTATGTATTTTTAACTACATCTTTCAGGTAAATAAACTACTAATTGTTAACTATTTATTCAGAATAGCAGAACGGTAGAAAAAACTGATCAAAATTGGTCATTTTATATAAAAGAGCTATATCAGATAGTATATATGTGATAGTATAGATATAAGAAGAATAAAATTGAATTTCATTTTTTGATGGATTTTACATAAATTTTTCATTTTCCAGGGTAGCAGATATCGCCCTCATTGGCTTAGCGGTCATGGGACAGAATTTAATTCTGAACATGAATGATAATGGCTTTGTTGTATGTGCATATAACCGTACAGTAGACAAAGTCAAGTCTTTCCTTGAGAATGAAGCCAAGGGCACAAAAGTTATCGGTGCTTACAGCTTGAAGGAGATGGTCAATACATTAAAGAGCCCAAGGAGAGTAATGTTATTGGTTAAAGGCAAGTGTCTTATATCGTAAATTAAAGATCTATTGTAAATTAAAGATCTATAATTATAATTATAATGGTATAACTTGTTCTGATAACAGCTGGTTCAGCCGTGGATGCCTTTATTGAACAGTTAGTGCCTCTTCTCTCTCCTGGTGATATTATCATTGACGGTGGCAATTCGGAATATCAAGATACCGAGAGACGTACCAAAGTTCTGGAGCAGAAGGGAATTCTCTTTGTTGGCAGCGGAGTCAGTGGAGGAGAGGATGGTGCCAGATACGGACCGTCCTTGATGCCTGGAGGCAATCCCAAAGCTTGGCCACACATTAAACCTATCTTTCAAGTATGGCCTATTATTATTTATTAAGCATTTATGAAACTGCAAAATTGTGATATCTTTTAGTCGACAAGTTATTAATAACAGCGAGTGAGAGTGCAAAATTCTGTGCAGTAATTCGTGTTTTAAGAATTAAATTATACTTGTTCCTTTTTACATTAATTAACAATAAAGTTCAAAATTTTTTAGTCGATATGCGCGAAGGTTAATGGAGAACCATGCTGCGATTGGGTAGGTGAAACTGGTGCGGGACACTTCGTCAAGATGGTACATAACGGCATCGAGTACGGAGACATGCAGATTATCTGCGAGGCGTATC